GTACGGGGGCTACGACCCCAACGTGAACGCCGGCGTCTTCAACGCGTTTGCCACCGCCGCGTTCCGCTTTGGCCACACCCTCATCAACCCGATCCTGTACAGGTTGGACGAGGACTTCCAGCCGATCCCGCAGGGCCACATCTCGCTGCACCGGGCCTTCTTCTCGCCGTTCCGCATCGTGAACGAGGGCGGCATCGACCCGCTGCTTCGCGGGCTCTTCGGCGTCGCCGGTAAAATGCGCGTCACCACGCAGCTTCTGAACACCGAGCTGACGGAGCGGCTGTTCTCCATGGCCCACGCCGTGGCTCTGGACCTGGCCGCCATGAATATACAGCGAGGGAGGGACCACGGCATCCCGCCGTATAACGACTACAGGACCTTCTGTAACCTGACGTCTGCTCGGAGCTTTGATGACCTGAAGAACGAGATTAAGAATCCGTCGGTCAGAGAGAAGCTGCAGAGGTGGGCGTGGCCTCAGACAGGCTCAGTGTGACTCGCCAGAGTCAAGTTATGAGCTCAGCGTGTTTCTGTTTCCTCGTGTTGCAGGCTGTACGGCACGCCGCTGAACATCGACCTCTTCCCCGCCCTCATGGCTGAAGATCTGGTCCCCGGCAGCAGGCTGGGCCCCACCCTCATGTGTCTCCTCGCCACTCAGTTCAAACGCGTGCGTGACGGCGACAGGTAGGTTAATCTTTCAGTACCAAACTGTCACCGAGCGTCACGTGACCGCAACAGATGAATCCTATCTCTCTCCTTCCTGCCGTGTTCAGGTTCTGGTACGAGAACCCTGGCGTGTTCACGCCTGCCCAGCTGACCCAGCTGAAGCAGGCGTCCCTCGCCCGGGTGCTGTGCGATAACGGCGACAACATCACGCGCGTCCAGCGCGACGTGTTCAGGGTGGCCGAGCTGCCTCACGGCTACGTCAGCTGTGACGACGTCCCTCAGATCGACCTGCGCATGTGGCAGGACTGCTGCGAAGGTGAGAGTCAGCAAACGCCGCATCAGCTCGCTCGGTTTATTCTGCAGTTTACTGACAGCTCAGATCACGATGACCAGGAAACCTCAGCAGACGCTTGTTGTTTTCAAAACACAAACATTTACTTTAAGCTTGAATAAATTAAACTCCACTGGTTGAATATTAGCATTCGAGTGTTTTCCAGATGTGTTGAACAGCTGCAGCGAGGAGCCCTGCAGCCTGCAGACCTGTGAGGGCGAGAGGAGCTTTCAGGACGATGTCTGGTTGTTTTTCTGATTGTCGCTGAGACAAAGTGGCTCTGAGGTCACAGAGGTCGCCGTCTCTGCTTCAACCTTTAAAGTTTATTTTTGGTCTGTAGTGTGAATTCGTTGCACAAATCTGATCCCAGTTTATTATTTATACTGGTGCATGAAAACAAACCTCCATTATTAAAAAGAGGCTTTTATTGTGGTGGGAGAGATCTCAGTGATGTGAAGGTTTAGTCAGGAGTTTGATCACAGGATGGAAACATGTTTTCTTCTTTAAGCAGACGCTGGTGATGAGTCTGCTCTCTGACTGTACGAGCAGAGCAGAAACTATAAACAGAGAACATCCTGTGCAGCTTTATAACTGCGTGTGCTAACAGACACGTGTGTGTTCATGTTTGTGTCGGCACGAGAGAGGAAGTGTTGTTGTTCTCGTCTTCTACACGCAGTCTGTGAATCAACCGCAGCTGAGATTTGAGCGTTTACATAAAGACGCGGCGCGTAAACCTGGAAGCTGCGTCACTGTGACCGTGGAGACGGGTTTGTCAGTTTTTTCATCCTCCAGGATG